GGGGGGGCGTATTTCTGAATATTTGAAAACATGTGCCCCTCTTCTTTTTTTTCGACCGTTGTGTTTTTGTCGTTGGGGAGCGAATCCTAGCAGATTCCGACAAGTAGTATCCGGGCACGGCCTCGCACTCAAAACTGGGCGCCAAAAACCTTATGTGCGCCAAATATCAGCTGTCATTGCATAGAGATATTTCCAATCTCTACGGACAAGCCAGCTTGACAATTCATACCGGATATGGTGTAGCGAATCCCAACCCTCCTCAACGGTCCCGTCCTGCAATCGTTTTGGAGCCGCCGAGCTTGCATGTGAAGAAAACGGCCGTAGATCAGGAGGAACATGTCTCGCGGGAGGCAAGCACGCACGAGCTTGTAGTCGTGGAAGGAGTGACAGCTCCAGTGGTCCTGCAGCTCCGGCAACTGGACCTGTCCGGTGGCAAGAGTGATCCCGATGAGACCTAGCATCATCTTCGTGGTGATTCCCCCCCTCAGCCACACGGATTTTCCTTCCTTCTCTTTCTTGTCGCGGTGACGCTGCTCCTGTCCCTTGGGGTTCTTTGTGCTCGTGCAGAACTTGAAGTACTAGTTAGGTTGTCGCGACGGTGGCCGTGGGTGGTGGGCGAGTGCGAATGGATTATCAAGAATCTTCAGAAAGTGAATTGAGGGTGTACCATGCGCCACAACCCAACCACCCATTCCGGTTCAATCACGGCATGAACACGTGACGAGAAGCCCCCCCAAGAAAACAAGAAGTGTGCATGATCAACGACACAAAAGGAACGAGCGCTTTCACTAACCTTCAGGACCAGTTGTTGGATCACCGCCGCCGGGAACATGATGCAGAAGAACGTGATCGCTAGCTCGCCTAGGCCATCCGCCGAGAACCTGCCCAGCTTTTCGGGGTCAAACATCGGCAACGTATCCAATGTTTTCTTCGACGGTTTGAACTTCAAATCGTGTCCCTCTCCCGCAATACTACGGTGGCAATCGTAGTACCCGTGCCCGTCTCCTCGGTAGGAGCCTTCACCGTTAAAATCAAACCCATCACCCCCACATGAGCCCGCAGCACCGCCCCCGCTGCGGTACGACTACTGTCGTTATCTGCTGCACCTTCTCCCTCACGGCTATTCCGCACGGTGCTGCTCCTGCTGCTGTCATAGTCTCCACCGCCATCTCCACCACGGGCATCCATACCGCTGCATCGGCCGCCGTCTTATCCAGCCGTACGATCTGCATCTTTCGCGTGTTGTGCTCGTCGGCGGTATCTAGCCCCTCCTCGCCCTTCTCCTCCTCACCACCCCCCTCCGGAGCATCCTTGTGGACCTTGCACTTGGCCATTGTCTTTTCCTGTTGTGGACGATGGCATGGAAACAGCCGGTTATTGCAGGGAACAGGCTAAGGGCGGGGGTGGGGGGGGGAGGGGGGGTACTCATACTCGTGCATGCCGTAGTCGTTAGACCATTGACCTCGCATCCCTACAAAGCCGGGACGGAGCACGCCGGGTTCTCACCGGACCAGGCTCTCA